GATTATTTATGTATACCTTCTTATGACCTTTTTCTGTTTTTGTATTAGACTTATGATCAATGGAAGGACATGATGCCCGATCTCAGTGACTATAAGTGGATTGTTCCTGACTTCGTATGGGATCTTGATGAATTCATTGACTTTGGTATTGCAAAAACTAAAGTGTTTTTTACTTACTAAAGTACATTATGCACCCAGCTCAGACTAAAGAACATAGTTCCTCAGAAACTGGTTACTTCTTGATAAAACCTCATTAGAACATTCATATTGACTGATTTTTTTTTTTTTTAAAAACTTAAGCATTCAAGAGTACATTTTACCAGGGAGCATGCATCTCAGGCATTCAGGGTTGAAAAGACCACATGTTTGGTAGTGATTATTCCATGAGAATGGATCACAGAATATGACTGTCATGACTCATAATTCAGTTGCACACTCTGTAACAGTATTTCAAGGTCATTGTTAGCCTGAAATCCAAGAAGTATATACACACATACACACACTGTCTTTGAGGTACCTGTCTGAGAACCCTTGTGCTATTATGCTTCTATTCAAAATCTCTCCTGGTTACTTTTGTGAAAGATTTGTACAAATAAAAAGACTACATGGTTAATTTGAATATACACCAAAAATGGTGAAATTACCCATTCACAAACTGCTATTACATTCACCAAATAAACAAACTGAAAGCTAGGGAAATACTGGTTTCTTTAATGATTCTGTCATAACTGCATTATACATCTATTCTCACTCATACTTAGAAATATATTAAATAGAAGGAACAGCCATTTAGGTTGGGAGGTATTATTTAAAAATTGTAAACACCTGAAGTACTCAAACATGATGGGGGTCGTGAATATACTTTAACCATAGTGGGTTGAAAATTTTCAAATAGTAATGTCATGATTAATTTATTTTAATTAACAATGGGCTTTGAATTTTACTACCACTGGAAGCTTAATATGTGCATGTTCTTATGATACAATAAATTGTCCATTTCATAAAGTGGAAAAAACCACCAAACTGTCTTCTAAATGCACAAAAGATAGTCAAAATAAAGGTGCATATTAATCCAACAGCATCTTCTCCAAAGGAGTTATGGACATAATGACTAGGTTTCTCCAAAGCTTTAAAGGTCCTAAAGCAGCCTAAAGCAATTGACTTACTAGACAGCACAAAGTCTAAATAAGAGACCTGTTTTCTTCTCTAGTAAACTTTCTCAAGGTTATCAGGAATAACAAAAATATATAGGTAGCTAGAAGTCTCTTGGTCCTTATATGAAGGGTAGTTTTGTTTTAAATTTGTAAGTAGCAACTAGACCTTACAATCCCATTTATCCAAAAAGAAAATAACATCAAGCTCTTTTTATACTTTGTCTTAGAAAAACTTAACAAAGCCCTTCCTGATGCAGAAGACCTTGCCAGACTTCTTCCTGATTTTGACAAGATTGGAGAAAGCCTCAGTTCACTTAAGGGATTTTTTTCACCCGGTGAGAACAGTGTTTTAGTTTTAGTTATGCAAAGATGTTTTATTTTAGAACATGATGTCACAGACACGTCTTTTTAAAAGTTAAAAGAAAAAAGCATTGTAGAAGTTGCATGTTTTTTTGTGTTGCTCATCTAACGGCCCTTTGAGTAATAGGTAAGTGCAACATATGTTTAAAGATAAACATTCTGGTAATAAATAAATAAATAGAATTAAGATGTGAAACTGAACAGAAAGCTAAGGGACCCTAATTAGCCTTACAGCAGATTGATTTAAAACTGTTAGTAAGATGTAGAGTCTAAAGGTAAAATATCCAATTAAAATGAGAACACAGGTTGAACCAGTACCCTGCAGTAACATTATACTTGTAAAAGAGAAGAATGATGCTAAAAGAACATGCTTCACATGTTGGACTGAACTACTGAAAAAATATAAAGTACACTGCAAGAGTCCTGAAGGAACTCGCTGGGGTCATTGCAAGTCCCCTGGCACGGCTTTATGAACACTCGTGGTGCTCTGGAGAGGTGCCGGAGGACTGGAAGAGGGCCAACGTGGTTCCCATCTTCAAAAAGGGGAGGAAAGAGGACCCGGGGAACTACAGGCCAGTCAGCCTTACCTCGATCCTGGGCAAGCTGTT